GCCTCCAGTTCAGAATGTGGACATCATACAGGATAGAGATATATTTCTCTGACAAATCAATACCATGAAAAAGAGAGGAAAGGGTTAGAAAATAGACTTATTAACTAAATATACCACATGGACTTTGGATCCTAATTTGGACAAACAGTAGAAAGACATTTTTGAGACAGTCGGGGAAATTTTAATATAGATTGGCTATTAACTAGAATTTAGGAATTATTATTAATTTTGTTATATATGATAATGGTGTGTTGCTTCTGTTAAAAAGGTGTTATCAGTTAAAGACGCATATGAAATGAAGGAAGAGAAAAAGAAAGAGGAAGAAAAAGAAAAGTGAGGGGAATAAGAATAAGTGTAACAATATAGGCAAAATTTTAATAACTGTTGAAACTTAGGGTGCATTATATTATTTTTCTATTTGTGTTTAAAGTTTTATTATAAAAAGTTTTAAAATGAGGGAGCATAAAACAGCTAAGAGAAAAACTGAAAGTCTAGGAGAATCCAATAAAAAGTGATATTAATAAAATTACAAAAAAATTAAATGGAAAATTTTCTAATAATATAATAAATTGCCAGAATTGACTCAAGAATAAATAGAAAATCTAATAAATAGAACCTATAACCATAAAAATATCATGAAATTAGTAGTTAAAAATCTCCTCTGACACCCCAAAAAGGTTACTAGGCTCATAGTTTAATGGGTTACTTGTAGCAAACCTTCAAAAGAAAAAGTATAGGTAATACAGTTAATCCTTGAAGAACATGGGTTTGAATTGTGTGGGTTCACTTGCATATGAATTTTCGTCCACCTCTGCCACTCCTGTGACAGCAAGACCAACCTTTCCTCCTCCTCCTTCTCAGCCTACTCAATGTGAAGATGAAAAGGAGGAAGACCTTTATGATTACCCATTTCCACTTAATGAATAGTAAATATATTTTCTCATATGATTCTTAAATAACATTTTCTTTTTCCTAGATTATTATAAGAATGCAGTATGTAATACAAAATGTGTGTTAATTTGTTTATGAAACAGACTGTTTATGTTATGGGTAAGGCTTCTGGTAATTATGGGTAAGGTATATGTATGGTAGTTATGGGTAAGGTTATTAGTAGTTAAGTTTTGGGGAACTCAGAAGTTACAGATAATTTTTCAGCTGTGCAGGTGCTTGGCGCTCCTCATCCCTTATTGTTCAAGCGTCAACTGTACCTATTTTACACACACTGTTTCAGAGAAGAAAGAAAGAGGGAAACCCACTTATCAAATTACCATAATCTGGATGCTGTACCTAAAAGAATTAATCATAGGAGCTTGAATTATGCTCCAAACTCATATCAGCTATTTTATCTGCGGAGGTGAGAAGGACATGGGAATGGTAGTTCAATGAGACCTCAGCTAGATTTATAATATTTTAATGCTTTTATTTAAAAAGACATGAAGCAGTATGACAAAGACATTAAGAATTGTTAATTTCATGTGGTAGAAACACTTTATTTTTCACTTAGTAAATTTTTACATTTTCTCAAAAACAAATCTACAGCAAATCATAGTTTGGCGTTCAACAACAGCAGACAAAACCATCCCTTTAAAGCATATTATTAATATGTGCCAACCCAGTGAACAGCTGTCCGACCTGCTCAGTGGTAGGAAGCCCAGCATGTACTATTTTTAGATCAAGAAATTCTGAGTAGTTCAAGTTACTACAGCTCTTGTAAACATCTCCATCTTTTCTGAGCGTAAACTGATGAAAGATTAGAACATTCTACTTTGAAAACATTTATTTGCCGTGATTCTTCAGAGTTGAACAGTTATTAATGAACCACTTTATGTTTATACACGTATTTATTTGACCACTTTTATGGAGTGCCTACTACATATTGTACACTACTTGGCTAGCACTAAGTCTGCAGAGGTGAGTGATACAATCCCTATTCATAGTAGAGGAGATGAATAAGAAAGTCAATGCTGTATGGTGAAATCAGTAGTGTACAGGGCTAGGTAGATCTCAGAGGTTCATCCATACTAGCCTAAAGGATCAGGGAATGTGGCCCTTGAATTAAGTACTATTGTTACTCATCAAATAAGGGTGGAAACCATTGAGGGAAGAAAGCAAGATGCTTGAATTAAAAGGAATGCATGTATAAATAAGGAGACAAAGTCTGAGTAACGCAAGTCTGGAATTGCTGGAGAGGAGGGCAGTGAGTTTAGAAGCTAGACCATCATAGGATCTTGCCTTGGGAACCACAACATACTGCACTGTCTGTTCAAGGACACTGATATGGAGGGGCCAGCTTGACTCTGGAGTGTTGCAAGTCCAAGATTTGTCAGTGCATGTCTCATGTACAAATGGAGCAAGTGTGAAGGAAGTTGATTTGCTCTGGGAATTTAGGTCCCTCCTGAGAGATAATTCATACGAAGAGAAGAAGGGTGATGCCTATTACTTCTATGTATTCCCCAGCTGAACTTCCCCATTAACTCATGTCTGTGTAGACGCTGGAGTGAGAACGAGATAGTATTCCTTTAGTACTTGTGGTGGTGAATTTAGTGTGTCAACTTGACTGGGCCAAGAGGTGCCCAGATTAAACATCATTTATGGGCATGCCTGTGAGGGTGTTTCTGGAAGAGATTAGCATTTAATCAGGGACTGAGTAAGAAGACTGCCCTCACCATTGTGGGTGAGCAACAGCCAATGCATTGAGGGCCCAAATAGAGCAAAAAGGGAGAGGAAGAGTGAATTCTCTCTTTTCTTGATCTGGAACCTCCATCTTCTCCTGCCCTTGGACATGGGCGCTCCTGGTTCTTGGTCCTTTGAACTTTGGGATGTACACCCTTGGCTCTCCTGGTTCTCAGATCTTCAGACTCGGATTGAATTACACCACTGACTTTTCTGGTTCTCTAGCTTGCAGACGACATACTGTGGGTCTTAGCCTCCATAATCAAGTGACCAATTTCCATAATACATCTTCTCTTAGATGTCTCTGTATATCCTACTGGTTCTGTGTCGCTGAAGAACCCTGACTAACACAGTATTCCTCAACAGGTTGTAACACACAGAAAGAGACACACTTCTCCACCCCTATACCAATTTTGCTCCAGAAATAAGTGTACTTTGGTGCCTCCAGTGGTAAAAAGCTTTGAGACTCAGCATAGGTGGTTGCAGAGAAAGGGTCCCTTGTAGGCGGGGACAGTGCCCAAGGCAAGCAGTGGTGGTGCTTGGCAGATATGATTGTCCATAGAGGAAGTGGCAGGGATGAATGTCTGGTGTATGTGTTAGTTCTCAGAGGGTGTGGTAGGACTGAAGGGTTGACTGTAAATGCCTGATGAATACTGTCAACATCTAATTTTAAAAAAGGAATAGAATAGGAGTAAAGGAAGAAAGTGTTTGCTGATTGGACTTTTTTTTTTTTTGTTAAGATGGAGTTTCACTCTTGTTACCCAGGCTGGAGTGCAATGGTGTGATCTCAGCTCACTGCAACCGTTGCCTCTCAGGTTCAAGCAATTCTCCTGCCTCAGCCTCCCAAGTAGCTGGGATTACAGATGTCTACCACACACCCAGCTAATTTTTTGTATTTTTAATAGAGATGAGGTTTCATCATGTTGGCCAGGCTGCTCTCGAGCTCCTGATCACAGGTGATCCACCTGCCTCGGCCTCCCAAAATGTTGGCATTACAGGCGCGAGTTACCGTACCTGGCCCTGGCCCTTTTTTTTTTTTCCTAAGAGGCAGGGTTTTGCTATGTTGCTCAGGCTGGCCTTGTACTCCTGGGCTCAGGACACCCTCCTGCCTCAGCCTTCAGAATAGCTGGGATTACAGGCACATACCATCATGTCTGACTTGTTTGGAGTTTTTTTTGTACAAGAGGTATACCTCATGATGACACAGATATAGTTGGTGGTCTGAGGGGTGTGTATATTTGGTTTTCTGTTCTACACTGACAAATGGGGTAAGAACCAATGAAACGCAAGCTACATAGGGTAGGCCTGAACCACTTCTCCAAGATAAGCTGCCCAAATTCCGAGAATACTAGCCACTGGCAACTCCACATTCTCTCTCACTGTAAAAGTGTAAAAGGTTAGGTTACTCCCCACCCTGTCGAACATGTGTCTGATTGCTTTCTGAGATAGCACTTCCCTAATCCAAAAGGAAACCTATCCTGGAGCTTGCATCCAGCTAATCTTCTTCCACATTGCTGCAAACAGGCAGTTCAGTTTTCTCATTACTTACACAGAGAGCAGAGGCAGATTTTCATGATTCCTCAGGACTCTGTTCTCTCTGCTCCAACAGCCAAAAGCTAAAGCCAAATGAACTTGTTCACAGAGAACAAGCGATTTTATCTGATCCTTATTATTCTTGCTGTAACTGCAGTTGTGTTATTCTGACTGATTTCCAAAAGAGATTCAGTGAAAATACCCTTGATCAAATTCACAAAGGAACAGCATGTTTCAAGTGGGCGTGTCTGGCTAGAATCTCCCTGCACAGTTCAGTGACAGCACATCAAAAGACTCCTGAATTCTTATTTCCCGTCCAAAAAATAACAAAGTCAATCTGAAATCTGGAAGTGTTATGAGAGCAGATGGTATTAGCCCAGTAGTAAACATATTTTTGGCTGCTTCTTTTTTCCCCCACCCGGTAACTATGTTTAATGTGCTGAGAAAAAATCATTTGTTTACAGAATCTTATTATAGAGCAGAAATATACTTGTTCCAGAGAAGAGGCGTTTAAATGGTTCCAAGTCAAATGATGTTAACAGGTGTCACCTGACCAATCCAGGACTTAAAATGGGTTATTATAAATAGGAGTAACACATATTTTTTTGGCTCTTTCTCCCACCTATTATGCAAGACTGCATACTGTTATAATGTTCCTCCTGAGTATTTCCAGCAACTTCGGGGGTGGCTCACGTGTGCTCATGAACAAGTACTGTCACTTATCACATACGGCCTGTCATTTTCTTGCTCCTGGCTCTTCTCTGCTGCTGTCTGCTGCTGAGGCCTGCAGAGATTAGTATAAATGGCAGGTGAGTAATTACTGATAGTCTTGCTGCTTCTGATAGGTCCGTGACACTTCTATTGAAGGAGATTACATCGCTGGTTCCGTGGATATGCTGAGGTCTGCGAGATGACACTTGCAGGGAGAATCTCTCTCTTCCTCTCAGTGTTACACGCTGTTGCGGTCAATTGTTAAAGAGCAAAGAGTTACGGAGCTTTTGCCCATAGCCCTCTCCCCTACCAGGCCACGCTCTAGGGAAGCAGCATGGGGAGAATGTGAGTATGGCGGCTATGAGAATGCACCTCTCAGAACTGACTGCACCGTAATGGAGGTGGGCCCCGCTGCTGTGCTCTGAAATCACAATCATGTTTACATGGAGGCCAGCTTCCCACAGGCTGCTCCCAGTCCATGACTGAGCATGGGAGGAACACTAAGGCTGACTTATCCCTGGGAGACACGGGACACCTGTAACAGGAGATTTTGAGTTGAGGTTTTCTGATGGCCTTTCAGACTTTGCCCAGCACTGCACTCTAAGATGCTGCTGCCTGGTCTTCCTGTCTCCTTTCTCTCTCTCCACTTGGGGTCAGCCTTGGGATTGCTGTTTGATGACTATCTCAGTTTCGCCACTCCCTCCTCTTTTGGCTCAGTCATTTCCCCTAATACGTTTTTCTTTTTTTTAAAAAAAAATTTATTATGTTTTACTTTTATTATTATTTTTTAAAATTATGCTTTAAGTTCTGGGATACATATGAGGAATGTGCAGATTTGTTACATAGGAACACACATGCCATGGTGGTTTGCTGCACCCACCAACCCGTCATCGACATTAGGTATTTCTCTTAATGCTATCCCTCCCCTAGCACCACACCCCGCAACAGGCCCCGGTGTGTGATGTTCCCCTCCCTGTGTCCATGGTTCTTTTGCACATTTAGTGTCATCTTGGCATCTGCTTCTCATGGGACTGAACTAACACAAGGAATGTGTATTCCCTGCTATGAAAGCATTGTCTGTTCTTCTTGTTGCTGACCCTTGTGTATCTTTTTTTTTTTTTTTTTTTTTTTTTTTTTTGAGACGGAGTCTTGCTCTGTCACCCAGGCTGGAGTGCAGTGGTGCCACCTTGGCTCACTGCAACCTCTGCCTCCTGGGTTCGAGCATTTCTCCTGCCTCAGCCTCCCAAGTAGTTGGGACTGCAGGTGTATACCACCACGCCTGGCTGATTTTTTTGTTTTGTTTTGTTTTGTATTTTTAGTAGAGGTGGGATTTCACCACATTGACCAGGCTGATCTGGAACACATGACCTTAGACAACCTGCCTGCCTTGGCCTCTCGAAGTTCTGGGATCACAGATGTGAGCCACCACACCTGGCCCCATCTGTGATTCATTTCTTGATTTTTGATTCATTTCCCTTCACAGGAGTTTCTCTCCTGGGAGGTTCTGAGGTCCATGTATGAACAGCTTTGATGTTGACCTTGACTTCCCCACTAATGTCTGCCATGCTTAGACATGACTGGGTGTCAGCAGGGATGTGAAGTGATGGAGGCTCAACCTGGCTCCTTGCTATGCAATTTGGAGCATCTACTCTGCTTCTTCACTGGTTCAGGACACAGCTAAACAAACAAACAAAAAATACAAGCAATTGTGCCTTTGAATTTCAAATTTAGTGAGACAAAAATCACGTGTCGCAAGTGGATAATGACACAGGTAATAATCATTTATATTTTCAACAAGCATTTATTGATCACCTGCCAGGATTCAGTGTGAAACCAAAAGCTAAATTTTATGGCATTCTTTTTTAGGTGCCATAGGGTATTGCAGAAGTCTCTGAATGGGGGAAAAGTAGTCTCCTGATGTGGAAAAGCAAACAAATAAAGTAGGGTTTTAATTTCTCTTGCTTCGTGCCTCATATTTTGTTTATTTATTTATTTTTTGAGACTGAGTCTCGCTCTGTCGCCAGGCTGGAATGTAGTGGTGCTATCTTGGCTCACTGCAACCTCTGCCTCCCGGGTTCAAGTGATTCTTGTGCCTCAGCCTCCTGAGTGACTGAGGCTACAGGTATCGGCCACTATGCCTGGCTAATTTTTGTATTTTGTGTAGAGATGGGGTTTCACCATGTTGGCGAGACTGGTCTCAAAACCCTGACCTCAAGTGATCCACCGCCTTAGCCGCCCAAAGTGCTTGGATTATGGGTGTGAGCCACTGCACACCTGGCCTCGTGTTTTAAAATGTTTATTTTGGTGTGCTGTAAAATATGCATAATAAATTAGTACAGTAGCACCTGCATATAATCTGTTAAGACACATACATTTTCTGTCAGTGATCACCGTAAACTTTTTTATCTATAAGGCACACAATCAAAAGGAGGTGAAGGCTCCTTGGCCAGAGGATGCTTTCGTGGTTGTGCCAAATGCACTGTTGTGTAGTGGTTAGAGCTTGGGGCTGAGTCCAAAGGCTTTAAATCTCAGCCCTACACTTAGGCACTATTCGACTCGTCAAGGCACCACCTCTCTGGGGCCGAGTTTCTCCTCCATGGAAAAGGAATGTTGTACTCCCCTCACAGGGTTGTTGAAGGAATTAAATAAGGTGATGCATGTTTAGTAAGTGCTAGTCAACATTGTTGTGGTTAGTATTATCATTTTAGCCCTAAATCGCTTTTTTCTCTTTTTGAGGCTCAAGTGTTCTAGTTGGTCATTTGTGAGTCTGCTTCATGTTCAGTACCACCCTCTATGCTTTGTAAGAAGTTGCTTTGCTGTCTTTTCATCTCAAGAGAAAGAGATCTTTCCCACCGTGGGACTCCTAATGTCTTTCCTGATGTCATTCTTTCACACTGTCTTGTACATTTTAGTTTATTTTTTTGAGATGGATTTTCACTTTGTCGCCCAGGCTGGAGTGCAGTGGTTCAATCTCAGCTCACTGCAACCTCTGCCTCCTGGGTTTAAGCAATTCTCCTTCCTCAGTCTCCTAAGTAGCTGGGATTACAGGTGCACACCACCTGGTTAAGTTTTGTATTTTAGTAGAGATGGGGTTTCACGATGTTGGCCAGGCTGGTCTTGAACTCCTGACCTCAAGCGATCCACCTGCCTTGTCCTCTCAAAGTGCTGGGATTACTAGGCATGAGCCACTGTGCCCAGCTGCCTCTTTCTTTTTAATTTTTTAAATTATATTGTAAATTGACAATTGGTGGTTGTATATATTCATAGGGTACCAAATGTGGAATAATTAAATCAAGCTAGTTAACATATCCATTACTTCAAATACTTACCATTTTTCATGGTGAGAACATTTGAATTTACTGCTAGGGATTTTGAAATGTACAATACACCATTATTAACTATACTCGCCATCTTGTGCAATAGGCCTAAAATATATTTATTCTTCCTGAGACCTTGTATCACCATCATCTCCCCATTCACGCCATTCCCCAGCCTCTGTAACCACCATTCTACTCTCTGTTTCTAAGAGTTTGATTGTTTCAGATTCCACATATAAGTAAGAACATGCAGTATTTGCTGTGTCTGGCTGATTTCCCTTAGCATCATGTTCTCCAATATTTTCCTTCTTTATGAAGGCTGAATAGTGAGTATTTCATTGTGTATATAGATGACATTTTCTTTACCCATTCATCTGTTGATGGACAGTTAGGTTGATTCCATCACTGGGTTACTGTGAATAGTGTATACTTTTCTTAACCTTCTTTTGGGGCCAGTAGCCCTGCTCTGTGTCCTTATTACTTCCTGTGTGACTAGAACAATGCTGTGTATGTAGTGGAGTTCACTTGATACCAGTTGAAAAGTTGCAGAAGGAACGGCAAAGGTGACTACTTGGCCTTCTGCTGTACATCCCCTCTGCTCTGTAGTGACAGCACCTGGGCAGCATCTGAGGGACACGCAGATGGCAGGAGAGAGAGAGAGAGTCAAGGAGGGAGGCCAAGCTTGCTTCAACTCCATGCGCTCCATTCACCGCCTGGGCTAAAGTCAGCCCTTGTATCAGTGCATGTTTCACAGGATTTTTACGTGAAGTGACACTCAGCCCCTTCTCCTTTGGTCATAGATGAAAAGAGAAGCTTTGTACTTTCCAAGAGAAAGGAGTTTCCTCCTTGTCATTTATTTATTGACTTTTAATTATTAGGATGGAAAAAATCCCCACACAACTAGCATGGTTTAACTTATGGCCAGGCAGGCTCTGTGCTTGTTTTTACACACACTGGTGTAGCATCAAATCTTAGTGATGGAAAGAAAACAAGTTGGTTTTACATACATTATCAATAGGATCTTGACCAAAAATCTTTGAGGGTTATTAGTATTCCCATATTATAGATGGGGACACTGAGGCTCAGAAAGGATAGATAATTTTCTTAATGTTAGTAAGTGGAAAATTCAGAAGATGAACACAGGCTTTTGTCACTTCAGGGTCCATGGGCTTTCCACTTTCCCGCAGATGGCTTGGGCTAAAGTGTTTGAATTATCGGTACTGTGCACACTTGCCAGTGGCCACTTTAGCTTCTTCATGACTTTTGCATGGGCTTTCCCTGTGGCCAGAGGGGCAGGGCTTGTATGATGACTGTGGCAATAGTGACATGGAGTAAACATCAAGAAGTGGATTTTCTTTTCTCTCTGGGCATGCACTACCTCAGGTGTCTGGGAAAGTGAGGGAGAATAGCAGAAAGCTGCTGCTATCTTTCCCCCAGCTCCATGACCAGCTGGACGTGAAGACGGCAAAGTGAGAAGGCCACATAATGATCATGCTGGTTACTGCGATGTGCTAAGAGCTTATCGCCTTCATCAAGGCCTTGGTGACTTCTCCCATCATGTTGCAGACTTGTAGAATTCTAGGACTGACAGAGGTCTTCTCTTTTCAGTTCTCAGAGCAAAAAGGTTGGTGGAAATGGGGAGTACATGAAACGAGCTAGTTTAGCACCTAATCAGGCACAAGAGCTCAGCACTGATTCTCAAAGGATGTCATTTTTACAGCTGAGAATGTATATAGTGATGGGGGTAGGGAGATAAATGCTAACTAGAGACTCAAAGTCAGTGCCAATGTGAATGTTGTTTTCTTAACATTTTTGGCCATTGGCTAAGTTGTAGATTCATAGGCAGAGAAATAACATCGAATATTATTTAGAATGTCTTCCTGCCAATGGGCAGAGAAGTATCTTGAAAGAAAGTTGATATGAAATGAATGCTGCTAAGTCATGGGAATTGCTCTCAGGAACTAAAGTATTAGCAGAATTAAGTAATGTTAATTACAAGGATGAATTTGCTTTGGTACTGATGTCTGAAATCTTGTCATTCTCAACTTCTTAAATGAGAAACAATAATGTTGATTTTTTAAAAATAACGTTGATTGTATTTTTATTTTTATTTTATTTTGGCTCATTGCAGGAAACAGTTTTTTGTGTTGTTTTGTTTTTAGCAGGCCTGCAGATCCTGAGGGTTAAATCCTCCCTTATGCCTTTGAGTCGTTGTCGGGTAATTTGGGGCAGCTTGCATGCATTTTTGGAGAGGGTAAGGCTAAACTAGAGACAACTAAATTCTAAGTGACATGACAGAAGAAACCACTAATTTTCTGAAGCTTCTGAAGTCTGGGAATTTGTCAAGGCACTGGGCACAGTAGTCCTTGGTACAGCATTAGACAAGCTTAAATGAGGCAAACCGGACTGACCCATCGACTCGGTCAAATAAAAAGTAGAAATTCTCTTCTAAGTTACTTTGAAATTGACCAATTCAACCAAATGATAGCATTGGAGAGCTGTTTTGGTGATATGTTAACATTTCCCTATTGTATTTTAAATATTGTAGAGCTAATTCATATTCTGACATGTATAAAATAAGTGCTTATCCCATAAACCTAATATGACAAATGATATACTATAAATAATTTGATTCCAAATGAATTAAGAAAGATAAAAGTTTTTCAAGTATCAGATTTCTTTACCAAAAATATCCTGGGAATGTGAGATTGTGCCTCTGTAGCCTCAAACATGAATAAAAAGTAATGTAGGCCAGGCTCAGTGGCTCACACCTGTAATCCCAGTATTTTGGGAGGCTGAGGCAGGTGCATCACCTGAAGTCAGGAGTTTGAGACCAACTTGGACAACATGATGAAGCTCTGTCTTTACTGAAAATACAAAAATTAGCCAGGCGTAGTGGTGCATACCTGTAATCCCAGCTACTCCAGAGGCTGAGGCAGGAGAATCGCTTGAACTCGGGTGGTGGAGGTTGCAGTGAGCTGAGATCATGCCACTGCACTCCAGCCTGGGTGACAAGAGCGAAACTCTGTCTCAAAAAAAAAAAAAAAAAAAAGTAATGTAAATTTTTTTCCTTTGTGTGGTGAGATTAAACATAATTTAAACATTTTAAGCACTGTAATATATTTTCACATGTCCTACAACAAATATATAACTTTTTAATTCAACAAAAAAATAATTTTAAGTGGTTACAAAAAGGGACAGGTGTGGCTTGGTAACTAAGAAAACATTCCCAGCCTGGGAAACAATCCGGTGAGAGCTTGGAGGCAGAAGACAGAACTCTGACTACATTCAGGGACTTTGCCAGATGGCAACAGATAACTGCCAATGTTCGATTGCACTATAATTATTATACACTGTCACTTCAGCAAGCTCTCTTTTCACAAGACAAGTGGCGACAGAATGTTGTATTAAGATTACCCATCGCTGAGCTTATGTTAAAGTGAGGAAACGAAATGGAAAGTAGTATTCTTTTGCTAATGTCTCTGGGATATGAGGCATGGAGGGAAAGGTTTGACTATAAGCACAACTATATAGAGAATATTAATTGTTTATGCCTTCTGGGAATGCATTATTTTGATTGACCCTAATTGGGAATTCAGAGGGGGGGGGGATTTCCTCTATTATCTGTAAAGAAAGGATTTGCTGAGCAAACACAATTGCTAGGGTCATGTTTAAAGTACTTAACTGATCTGCTTTCAAGTCTAATTAAACACTTCAGGGGCTCCACTTACCTCCAAACATGTGCTATGTTGGTTACAAACTCATCTTAGTCTAATTTTAGTCAGTGTTTATATTAGAAAGTTATATAATACTTTTTTCTTTCAGATATATTCTATAATTCATATTTTTGGCTAATTTTACCCAGTTCTCCTTCCGCCCTCAATCTATCCAAATAACTGAGTTGAACTGTGTGAGTTTACTGCTCTATTAATTTATTGACAGAGCTATATAAATCATGACTTCCTCTGCTGTTTCGGATGAGACTGGAGATTCACGTGTAAACTTGCAATGCACAGCTTATCTGGAAAGTTATGTGGAGCAGGTGACTGAGGGGATAGCTTTCACTGCTTGGATTAAAGTCAGTTTTGAAAGAGCTAAAGATGCCTGTTGAATTCTGGAGTGTGTGTGTGTGCGTGTGTGTGTATGGGTGTGCATGTGTGTGGGTAGAAGGCAGCAAACTCTTCACATTTCAAATAACTAAAGATATGGTTGGTAAAATGAAGTCACATTTTTACACCTCACATGCCTTCGAGGGAGAACAGTAAATGCAGCATCCATCGGTTAAAATTAGTCTATCACTCTTGGTTTATGACGTTTTAAAGACTTGTTAAAGATATTCATGAAGATGTAAAAGATACACTTAAAACCCACATCAATTGCACTAAAAGTCAGCTGGAAATAGAAGGGTTTTAAATCCTGGTGGTGGCAAATTGGCAGCCAAAGGAACAGAGTCTTAGTCAACATATTTCCATGTCCCCCTGAACACAAATAGCCTTGAACCTTCGGAGGGTGTTCCTTTGAGATGTTTCATCAGTGACATCACAGTGATTGCCAGTTCTCTGGGACTACTTTAGGTGCTGCCCAGAGTCCAGGAGTCCAGACAACCTGGGAGGGGAGAAGCAGTTGGAGACAGCGAGGAGAAACCTGCCTTAGCCAGGGCGTCTTTGATCCTCTTCAGGTAACTGCAGGATTTTTATGCTTAGCATACTGTGTGTGTGTGTGTGTGTGTGTGTGTGTGTGTGTGTGTGTGTGTGCACAAGCTGCAAATGAAAAAGTCAGAGGAATGTTTACATTTCTTAATAAAATAGGCAATGCCCCTTGTATACAGTATGCCTTAAGATATAAAGTGAATATTATTGATTTCTGTTTTTCTTTTTTTTCTCCTAAGGTTATGCATTTTCTCCCTTCCTAGTAAAGAAATTTTTTTTGTATTATAGAAGAAGGTCTTCTATCTTCTCTAAGTCTTCATTCAAAGAAAGCCAATGTCAAACTTCCTGTACAATTTATTCAGAGCTTTTTTGGGTTTTAGTTAATCCATTTTCAACCACTGGATCATATGTCATGACCTTGACTTCAGGGAAGGTTTAAAATGAAACCCGAAGTATCTTTGTGAGTTAACAGCAGAAAAATAGAACGTGGCTGATCTGAATTTCTGCCTAATTTTTGTTCATTCTTCCTAAAGTGTATAAATGTGAGTGAAAGGAATGTTCACATCACACCTTACAGTTAGCATATGTGTTGATTGAATTGAATTCACTAGAAATTCTCACCTTAACTCTTCACATTTTATTCATCTAAAATCACATAAAACAAGAAATATTTAAGGTCACCATTAAAGTGCAAAACATAGTAAGAGGCAAATCCCAAGAAAGAAGTGTGATAGGTAGCTTACTAATTCAGAGATGACTGAAAAAAAAATGTAAAGAGTGCATAAACATATACAGTTAAAACAATAACTAAAAGGCAACATTTGTATGATTATCATCCAGGTCAAGAAACAGATCATTGGCAGCTCCCAGAAGCCCATTCCTGATCAACCCCCATTCTGCCCTTCTGCCCCAAGATGTTGAGATCATCTTGCTCTTGTTTTTCTTTACAGTTATACCGTCTATACCTGCATTCCTAAACAATATGATTAACCTCTGTATTTTTGACTTTATATAAATGGAGTCATGTTCTATGGTTTCTTTTGTAAATTCTTTTACCCAACGATCATATTTGCGAGATCTACCCATCTTGGGTATAGCTATAGTTCACATGTTTTCTTTGCTTTATAAAATTCAAATGTATGAATCAATCACAATCTATCATCCATTCTGCTGTTGATAAACATTTGAGTTGTTTCCAGTTTGGAGTTATTGTGATAATATTGCTTTGAGCCTCTTTGTTTATGTATCCTGGCACACACGTCCTTGTGTGTCTTGGGGGAGAAGTGAAATGCTAGGTCTTAGAGAATGAACATTTTCAACATTAATTCTAAGAAAGCCAAATTGTTTTCCAAAGTGGTAGAAAACGCATGCTAACTTTCTTTAGCCGGGCCAGTTCATTGCAGTGATAATTCATTCGTGTCATAACTCCTAGGAAGTGGCCACAATTCTGGTAACTGGGGCCAGTCTGCCAGTTCTAGCTTTGCCTCTAACTTGCTATCTGTCATTACACAAACAACTTAATCTTCTCTCTCTAAAAGTTGGTTTCTCAGCTGAAATCCTGAGAAAGATAAAAATTGCAATAACACTTGCCTGAGTTGTGAAGGTAACACAAACGAGCTGTGGAACAGCTTTCAATAGCATTTTTCTCATTGTCTGAGTATATCCTATTGGACCTGGATATACTCAGAAAAACTCCCGTTGGACTGTCCATGATTCCCTTAACAGCTTAATTTAATAAGCAGATTTGGTGGGACCGTTGTTTTGCCCTCCTTGAATTGAATTGTTTTGATCATTATAAGCCAGGCTTCATATTTTCTGCATATCTCTGCATTTCCTGAGAACTTGCCCAAATAAGTGGACATTTGGACTAGGATTTTATTTCATTGATAAGTTTATAAGAAAGAGTCTGTCTTCATTTCTCATTCCTTTGCCTCCAGGCATCTTGGCAAGACTCATTACGTTTCTGTTCTCCTCTGCTCGTTTGTACATTCTCACAAATTATTTTTCCTTAATCCATTCATTTTCTTCTGTTTACTTTCTTATCCAAGCAAATCTTTGAAAAGATTTGCTATTTTTTCTCCTTTTTATTTTCTTGTGGAGACAGGGTTTTTTGTATGTTATTCAGGCTGGTCTTGAGCTCCTGGGCTCAAGTGATTCTCCCGCCTCCGTCTCCCAAAGTGCTGGGATTAGGGGCATGCACCACCATGCCTAGCCACTTGTAAAGGTTTTCATTGGCAATTTACTATTTCCTTCATGCTTAGGTCCAAAAGATGGATAAGAATTAAAAGGGAGATGAAACATAAATCTGTCATCATTTGGCTATATTTTAAACCAAGATTCAACAGTCTACTGATTGGCACCATCTGATTTGAACTTGTATTTTTAATTTTGTTTTTGAGACAGGGTCTCATTATGTTACCTAGGCTGGTCTTAAACTCCTGGGCTCAAGGAATCCTTCCACCTCAGCTTCCCAAGTAGCTGAGACCACAGGTGCTCACTGTCATGCCTGGCTGAACCTGTATGTTATGCCAATTACACAATATGAAAAAATTATTTGGTTGGTATTTATGCAATTAATCATTTGGTCCATTGATAATATAATCAATACAGTAATTACAATTAATAATTCAGTAATGTTAGATAGTTAAAAATACCACTTAGACCAAAAGCTTGCTAACAGCCCTTGCAGCCTCTTGAACTTGCACCTTTAGCAAAAACCAAAACACCTTTTCTCCCTAAACTTTCACTCTACAGTAGACTTTTGTCCTAAATGTCTAAAACATAGATATCTAATTATCTAAAATATAGAAATCTTTAATTTCATTTAGACTGCATAAATAATGTGCCAATTTACACTATCTCGCTGAAGACAATAATTTGATGACTACATTGCATATGTTCTCAACGTATGATTTCCTGTATGAACAATCTGTACATACTATGAAGATACCATCCCTGCTCTTTGAAATGTTTACAATCTAGGCACATCCTGGACCTGACTAAAAATAGCTGGCACAAGCCCTTGTTGAAATAGAAGTACCCATGAAGTTAACACTTGCTCTTTGGGCTGAATGCCTGTTATGCGAGGGGCTTTTGGTTGATCCCAGCAGGCTATGTGCCCAACGCAGGACTTGTCAGAGGCCATGCAGCTGTCTGCTTTCAGCAGAGTTGGATGAAGACCTACAGCAGGCTGAGGCCCAAAGGATTATGGCATCCCACTTACCTATGTAATTCAAAGGAAGAACAATACTAAACCATAAAATGTTTCTGTTTTGGTACCTCTGCTTGTTGATACTCTTAAGGAAAGTGTACACATGCATATGCACAGACAGAAACACACACATATAGAAGTTGGAGAAAAAGATGGTAATATTTTGCATTTTATGAAAAGCAGCAATACAATCATCACAGGAAAAAAATCAGGGCAAGGCCGGGCGCGGTGGCTCAAGCCTGTAATCCCAGCACTTTGGGAGGCCGAGGCGGGTGGATCACGAGGTCGAGAGATCGAGACCATCCTGGTCAACATGGTGAAACCCCGTCTCTACTAAAAATACAAAAAACTAGCTGGGCGTGGTGGCGCGTGCCTGTAATCCCAGCTACTTAGGAGGCCAAGGCAGGAGAATTGCCTGAGCCCAGGAGGCGGAGGTTGCGGTGAGCCGAGATCGCGCCATTGCACTCCAGCCTGGGTAACAAGAGCGAAACTCCATCTCAAAAAAAAAAAAAAAAAAAAAAAAAAAAAAATCAGGGCAAAAATGATGGTCTTTATGACACCAGGGAGATAAATCGGGCCCTCTGTATTCATCAGGGCTCTTCAGAGAAACATAGCTAATAGAATGTGTTGTGTTGGGTTGGTGGGGTGGAGGTGGGGGTGTGTCTTTAAGGAATTGGCTTGTGTGATTGCAGAGATTGGGAAGTCCAAAATCTGTAGGGTGGACTGGTAGGCTGGAGACTCAGGGAAGTCTCCAGTCCAAAGCCAGTCAGGTGATTACATGTCCCATGGTTGGCATGGTTGGTTTCTTTTGAGCCCTTTCTTTGGCTTGTACATGTCCATTTTCTCCTTGCGTTTTCACATAGTCGTCCCCTCTGCATGTGTCTGTGTCCTAATCTCTTCTGATAAAGACACTAGTCATATCGGATTAACACCCACCCTAATGACCTCATTTTAACTTATTTACTTCTTAAAAGATCCTATCTCTAAACACAGTTGCATTCTGAGATACTGGGGGTTAGGGCTTTGACACGTAGATTTTTGGGGGACACGATTTAGCCTATTACACTCTCCTTTTCCACAACACTTCTGTTTCCTTTGGGGAAAGAACGAGCATTGTTATACAGGAATGCTCATTAATCTCCTTGCGTTTTCTTTGTTATGTTTTGTTAGGAGGTGAGGACAAGCCAGAGGTCCTTGGTGCGCCTCAGAAGTCTGCCTGAAGTTCTCACCAAGCCACTGTGAGAATGGAGCTAAACACCCGGGAGCTGTTTCTCAACTTCACTATTGTCTTGATTACGGTGATTCTTATGTGGCTCCTCGTGAGGTCCTATCAGTACTGAGAGGCCATGGCTTGGTCCTGGGATTGACTGAGATGCTCCAGAGCTGCCTGCTCGATGCCCAGAGACCCCACTGCTGTCATTGTCATGGGATGCCATTCTCCAACCAAGGGCACCTGTGACCTGCACTCATAATATCTGCTATGCCCTAGTGCTAGGATCGATTATGTTTTCTCTAAAGATGCTGCTCTCAAGGGCTGACAAGTGTTTGCCAGCGAACGTTAGATTTATTCCCCAACTCTTAACTGAAAATGTGTAGACAAGCCACAAAGTTAAAATTAAACTGGATTCATGAGAATATAGGATTGTTACAAGCCCCTGATCTGTCTCACCACACATCACTTCAACCCACACGGTCTGCAACCAAATTCTAATTCAACCTGCGAGAAGGAATGTTAGAGGAAGTCTTTGTCAGCTCTTATAGCTATCATGTGAATAAAGTTAAGTCAACATCAAAAACAACTTCTAGAATTTATTTTAGCTTCCATGTGTGATAGAGCATTTGACCCTTGGCTGGGATTGGAGTGACAAGTGCTACTGTATTTCTAGCATTTGAGGTAAGCCAAGATGCTCCAACTGCTGAAGATTTGAAACTAAGTCAACACACTGTGTCATATTTCAAGTAATTCCATTGGTTCAGTGCTCCTCAAACTTTTCCCCTCAACTAGTTTCAAGGGCAGAGGGAGAATAAATCCATTCTACTAGGAGGTCTGAAGCATAGCCTGAATTGCCTGCTGAAAGTGCCAAATTTCTTTGAAGTCTTGTGTTTTATCTTTAGACTTCGTGAGAAATATATTTTTTACCCTATAATATCTTCATGTTTGTTTTCATATAAATATTTAAAATTATTTACACTAAGTAACACAAGAACATGAGTCATGTCCATAAGAGTCGCATATTCTATTTTGGTTATTGTTATTACGCAAATGGAGCTAGTCTTTAATAAACCACAGTTATAAAAGGAGGCAAGTAGAAAATGCAGATTTATATATGTTTATAAAAGACATATAAAATAGATGTTTCTTAAACATGTAGCTGGAACACCCCATGCTAGACAGACCAAATCTGCTATCTGTGCCCATGCTGAGAAAACCATGGAGAAGGGGAATGCTGTTAAACATCATCTTACATAGCTGCCTCCATGAAAGCGTTTCTTGCCAAGAATTTGACCTGTCATTGAGGCATTGCCTACATTGCATTATAGTTCTTAACCTTACCTTCAAAGAAAGTCAATTATCCCAGGGGTGATTTTTCAAATCACGGAGGCTGGGTTCTTCTTAGATCAATTAAATAAAAATTCCAGGGAATAGAGCCCAAGTATCTATCTTTTAAAAATATCTTCTAGATGATGACATTGTATAGCCAGAGTTGAGAATCACTGATACCAACCCTTGCTTCTCAAAATTCAGTGTGATTGTGAATTACTTGGAATTCTTATTTCAATGCAGATTCTAATTCCGTTCCGATTCTGGTTCATTTTGGGGTGGGGTCGGAGAGTCTACATTTTGGACAAGCTCCTAAGTGATGCCAGTGTTGCCTTCCCAGACTGCTACCCTTGAATTAACATATTAGAATCACTTGGAGGATGTTTAGCAAAACCACCCAAGCTTGAGCCCCATTCCTAGGAGTTTCTAATTTATTTGGTCTGGGGTGAACCTGAGTGTTATTCTTTTTTTTGGAAGAACTCCAGGTGACTCTAATGAGCAGCCAGGATTAAGAATCCTCATATAGTTAAAGAAAAAAAATGTTATATTTTGAGAGGTTCCTCTCCAAATTGGGAAATAGCGGCATATAGTCCTCAGTGTCTTGTCCCTAATTTCAGTTAGGCTGTACATATGGATATGCAAATGCTAATGATTTAGTAGGCAGCACATGGATTCATAGGCATGCGGCTCTAGGGCCCTTGGTAGATGATTATCAGTCTTTCTCCTATTTGCAGAAAACCTACTGTTTGTGTATGTGTTTGAGAAGGTGTTGGGGGGAGATTTGGGGGAAGAGTGACAACATTCCCTTCAGACGTTGAACCATCTGGCCTTTCACTGAAGTTTGAGTGATGCTGCCGACATTTACAACAGGTACCATTTACTGACTCTGCTATATGTAAAGCCGTGTTCTAGGCACTTAACATATATCATGCCATTTAGCAGATTTGGGAACTGAGGACCTCACTAACCAGATGTAAATGGGGAAACCACAGCGAGAAAAGGATCATCTTAACCTCTGTGGGGAACTGTGTACAAATCATGCTTTGTTATAGATCTCCAAACCATTTGATTATGTGTTAGGTTTTACCCTCACTTTCTTTAGCATTCTAAAACATCAGCCTATTTAGATCAAGGTAACAATTGTAGTTCTCTATGTCGTTTCTTTTTGCATGTTAATCTTCGTCTCCTTTCATTCTCTAACTTCCTGTGACTGAATCTACAGAGAGGATCCATTTTTACACATTATGAGCAACTGTGCAGGGGTAAGACATCCATGAACAATGTTAGTGGTGGGAGTAGGAATTATGTAATGTCTTTCACATTCAGAAGTCCTAGTCATTATGGCTAAATCCCAGTCTGACTCATAAATCTCCTTTATGTACAACCTTCCCTATGACCTCAAGCACCCTGACTCATCACAGAACTCTCTGCATGCCTCAGCGTTGACCCCAACCACTGAAACGTTACCTGATTATCCCAAACAAGATGCTAGTTCTCTATTACCAGAGCACTGAATCCTACTTATTAACTGAAGTTCCAGCTCATAGACTTGATCCTACTCTAGCTTTTTTCTCTTGTGTTCATTCATTCATTCCACAAGTACTTGTTATGACACTAGGTGTTGGGCATTTACTAGACACTGGAGACAAAATGGCGAGACAGCCAAGCCCCATTCTCACGGAGCATACCGTTTAGTCAGGGAGACAGAAATGTAAATAGGTAGTTATAACGGTGTGAAAAGTTCTTTGACAAGATAAGGATAAGGTGCTGCTGGAGGAGATTGCAGAAAGAAGGAACGGCATGAACAAAAAAACAAACGCTAGAGAGGATGACAAATTTAGGTGTAGCTGAGGCACACAGTATCTCTCCAGCCACAGGCAGTAGTCATGCCATGTAAGAGTAGATCTCACAATTCTGACCACGTTGCTCTGACTTCCAAGTTGAATCACTTCTGAGATCCTTGCTCATATGCCTCACGCACTGGAGGGGGCCCTTTGCTACCAACAATTGTGAGTCATGTCTATGCTTACACAGAATTTAGACACTGGCCTAGGGCCTTCCTAGCCCTTGAATCCACAGCAGCCAGATCGGTTCTTCCCATTTACTATCTCGCTCCCCTGAGCAGTTCTCTCTTGGGTGATGTTCTCCTCTTCTTGCCGTAAGTCCTGGGATGCCAAGATCCCAGGATGTATTGGTATTGAGCTGCCCACTTTACTGTACCAACCAACCATCTGAATTTTTCAAAAAAGATATCTTTCAATGCTGGCTTAAACTTTCCTTCCAGTCTTCTCTAAACTCACTACTAAGGCGTACATCCTTTGGAACTTCTCCTTTTTATCTAACTATTCTTTTACATTGAAATACACATACTTTTTATTCCTTTCTGTCAGTCTCAACACTGTATCTGGTTCCCAACTCCTCTTCCTGGGGCTGCCATATAGTTGACTCCATAAGGCATAAGAAATTTTCCAGATAATTCATGTCCCAAGCAGTGGCTCTAAGAAAAGAAACCCAAAATACTCCAACCTGATCAGCATCCATAATCACAGTTGGGGTGAAAATGGTCACAAAATGGTAGAGCCTCCATGTTCTCTAATTTAAGTCATATCAAGGGACAGCCCTTTTGTTTACTTCTGCTCTTCCTTTAGCACTTTGCCGTCCCTTTTACTTCACTGGAACACAGTCTTTCTATCAGTCTTGCCTGCCCCACAGTCATTTTGGTGCATAATCAATGCCATTTCTAGATGGCATCCCTGGACCTTTCCTTAGCAGGCTGGGCATGTCTGTCATAACCTTGAAATCTCATTACCCGGAATCCTGTTCCAAATGCCTAGAGTATCCCCAGAAAGTAGTTAGTGACAAATTAAACTGGTTCTGTTCCCTTTTCCTCTGAATATGTTACCTATCATTCTTTTAGCCAATCTGTTTTATCATTTCCTGTTTTCAGAATGTTTTTTAAAACTTTGGCACAGAAGACCGTTCTATAGGTGGACAATGTAGCTTCTCTTCTGTTTACCTCTCCCTCATGCCCCACCTCCACTCTCATTTCCAGCTATTAGTTTTCAGTGATTCCTTGCTGTCTTCAACTGTGGGGTCCTTGCATAGCTATTCTCTTTGCCATTAAGTGTTATTACCTCTTGTAAGTTATCTCCAGAAAATTTCCTTCTCTGGGCCTCATGCCTAAATACTCTCAGCATTTATCACTTGTACCGGTATGTGTGTGTGTCTCTCCCAAGTGCAATTCTTTTTTTTTTTTTGAGACAGAGTCTCGCTTTGTCACCAGGCACCAGGCTGGAGTGCAGTGGCGCGAGCTCAGCTCACTGCAACTTCTACCTCCTGGGTTCAAGCAATGCTCCTGCCTCAGCCTCCCAAGTAGCTGGGACTAGAGGCATGCACCACCATGCCCAGCTAATCTTTTTTTCAGTAGAGACAGGGTTTTACCATGTTGGCCAGGATGGTCTCAATCTCTTGACCTCGTGAGCCTCCCACCTTGGCCTCCCAAAGCACTGAGATTACAGGTGTGAGCCACCGCACCCGGCCGCAATTTTTGTCTAAGGGGACTGTCTTCAATGTTTAATTGTAGTTTCCAGCTGGTCCATTATAATCACTAGTTAAGTATCTGTTGAACACATCAGTGACTACTTGGCTAGATGTAAAAACTTTTGGAGCCAGGCGCGGTGGCTCATGCCTGTAATCCCAGCACTTTGGGAGGCCGAGGCGGGTGGATCACAAGGTCAAGAGATCAAGACCATCATGGTCAACATGCTGAAACTCTGTCTCTACTAAAAATACAAAAAATTAGCTGGGCGTGGTGGCGCGTGCCTGTAATCCCAGCTACTCAGGAGGCTGAGGCAGGAGAATTGCCTGAACCCAGGAGGCAGAGGTTGCGGTGAGCCGAGATCGCACCATTGCATTCCAACCTGGGTTACAAGAGTGAAACTCCGTCTCAAAAAAACAAAACAAAACAAAACAAAAAAACAAAACAACAACAACAACAACAACAACAACAAAACTTTTGGAATAGACATGTACCTATTTCTATGACTAGGTGCATGATCTGGGCTCGCCACAGTATAATAAAAAGGAAACATAAAAAGTTCTAGTTCCAAAAGTTCTATTAGGTTAATGAGCAAACCAAACTTCTTTTTAAACTTTAGGCAGTTGAAACAGTTTTTCCAAAGGCAGTTTGCTTCTTTATGAAATATTCAAGATGCTTGCTTCTTTTGATCTGTCTCTATCACCACCCTAAACAAGTTG